TTGGTACTTGTAACTGTATTGCTGCTCGAGTTCACTCACTTCAAATTTCTTGATATAGTCTCAAGTTTCTTGGCGTTCATCCCTACCGGCTGGGGCATAATTTTAATAGCTCAGGTACTTAGACCTTTCCTGCAGTCTACAGTGGTGTGGGATACTGTGGTTTCATTGGCTCGACTGTATGATTTGCTCTTTGGGGTAATTATTTTGGCTCCTGTGGCATTGCTGTCATGGTTACCTGGGTTTCAGTCAATGCAGACTAGGATCCTGTTCAATGAAGCCTTTAGCAGGGGTCTTCAGATATCTCGTATTCTTACCGGCAAAAAGTCTCAGTGAGATGCATTCATTGAGAGGTATTTTGATCTCAACTTATGAAATCCTCCATTATGTAATATGTTTTAGGTTGGACTGTGCATATTATTATATTTCATTGGTCACTTATGCTTTGTGTTCTCTTTCAGGTAGTCCCATGTCGGCTGTAATCTTTTACAAATTATCTAACTGGGTTTCTTTGTGTTTCAGGTCATGAGGCGGGATTAGGTTTACAACAGACCAAGTAAGACTGTCCCTCGATTCTACTGTCGGAGCAAAGGTAGTCGCATCGCATGTACTGTGGTGTCGTCGTACAAGATTCGTTCATCCGTGAATTCAGCTGCTGATTTTGTACTTAATCAGAGCATCTTCCTCTCTTGCTAGAGATTTTGTAATGAAACAAACAGGGGGTAATTTGAGTGGTTAATTCCGTGGAGTGGTTTAACCACATTGTTGTTATTGTTGTTGTTCAGGATCTGGTTCTGTACATATTGTTCATATCTAGTGTAGCTTCTAATCTATGCTAGGTTGGTTATTTAAAGAGCATATTATTATTATTATTATTAATGGCATGTTGCTTCTCCCACATCTTGGATTCAATTGATTTTACCCAAGTAACCAATATCTTATAAACCCAAGATCAGTTTTGGTGTGAACCAACAATTGCAATCATGTATATAATAATAAATAAATATACTATAGGAGGGGGACCAATCGCAAAGTTTCTCATTCTTTTAGCCAGAAATTGAATGGTGTATGATTCAACGTTTTAATTTTTTCAAAAAGTAGCATGCATCGTGACATTGCTCAGAAAAATGATGTCTGAAACCTTTTTGTTGAAGCGACATGTTTTCTGTTTTAATTTTGTTTTGACAATTTGAATTTTGCAGACTAGACAAAAGAAACGTACCCATCAGAAGATATATATTTTGCACACTAGATTTTAATTATCAAAAAAATTAGTTCTCGGTAAAATATATGTCCCTCATAATTCCTCGTTGCTTATGACAGGGACTTTCTCATATACAGAAGTCTGTCTAAATCTTTTGGGAAGAATGAAACGACCACCAAATCTCTGCTGCAAGAAAATAATGGCAGCAAACAGCAGACCACCACAGGGGATGATGATATTCCAGGCAGTGGAGTAAAAATCCATTTTATGGTTTGCATAAATATATGATAAGTCAAGGAACCATGTACCAGTCTGAGCTCTGTAAAGATCATATGCATGAGGCAGCAGACGAATTATGGTGGTTCCAAAGTAAAATGCGCAGGCCAGAGCCTTTTCTCCTGAATTGAAGAATAAGTTGAACAATATCTGTGGGAGCAGAAAACCATCCAGTACAAGGCCGGCATAAGAGCTGAGATCCTCCCAGAGAGAGTGCTGCTGGTAAGCAAGATGGTGGAGGGTAGACACTCTGTAAGCCATGCGGTGTGGTCTTTGAAATGGCCTGTGTGATCTCTGGTAAGCGTTTTTCCGTAGGTTCACAAACCAAACAATCAGTGCACCAGCTATGTACAATGGTAAAGTTGCATAAAGAACCTTCCTCTCAGAATCTCTCAAGCTCTTCTGGTTTCCATGACCTTGTCTTGAGGACCACGTCAGTTGGAGAAGACGTAGCTGCAAAAGGAGAGCTACCATCATTAACACCCTGACTATTACTTCATTCACTTGAAGCCATCCACCAGTCCCAAGAAAAGTATCCTGCTGGCTGTGGTGTTTATTTGGCACAAACAATGCTTCAAAGTTGACCAGAAGTGGAATCATGTATCCCAGACTAAGAACAATAAGCATTACAATCGAAACAAATGGGAGAACATCTGGGTGCTTCTTCACGAATAATAGCTGCAAGCCCACAAAGACACATGCAAGGGTGTTGGAAATCAGAACCATACTGATCTCAAAGTCGATTCTTGAAATGGATGCTGCAGCTTGGCTAGTGTAAATAGAATTCGAAGAAAACTCAATAGGTTCAAAATAAAGAGGGTCTAACTTTCCCCTTGTGCTTTCAATAGTTCCCTTGACATTCTGGCCATCCTTAGTATCCAATGGAGAAAACTGTACAATGATTTTAATAGCACAGTCTAACATATCCTGTTTAATCAATGTTTGATTTTTCACTGGTACGTGCCTACATCCTATCATGCACAGATTACCATAATCCCTATCATATATTCCTTCAGCAGATAGTTCTGCTTTAGATGGGAAAACATCATGACGAAAACCGAAACCAGATATGAAGAACAACTTATAGCTGACGTTCATCAGACTGCTATGGGTATGGCTTTGGTTCAGCTGCATAGATGATTCCGTTTGTGGCGATTTATCCCAAAACCGGCGTCCATAAACCCGCTCATCATCCACAAATAAAGGGGATGAATAACCAGATGCTTGTTGTCCCTTACTGTTTCTCACTGTCATGCCAAATTTCATGTCCACTGAAAACTCATCAGGGTATATCTTTCCTTTGCCTCTCCCAGCCTTCTTTTCTGCACATGTTTTTCTCATATCATCATTCTCAGAATACTCATATTGAAAATCTAAGAGTTTCATCAACCATCCCGACAAAGTGTGAAACCCAATTTTAGTAAAGTAACCTGAGTCATTCACTTCTTTGATGCTCCACATTTCCCCCACAACAGTAGACCTATTCCATAAAGACAACCTTGTTGGCAATCTCAAGCTGAATTTAGTTGAGCAATCTCCAACAAAAGCATTAGTCAAAGATTCTGTAAAATTCAAAATCCGGCATGCAACAGCACACAGACGATTCTCCTTCTCATCCCATGCCCCTTCAGTAATGAAGGTTGTGTGAGGATCAAACGGAAATTTGATGCCATAATAGCTAGAGTTGGGAAAACCCAACAACATCTGCATTTTCCTCCCATCTGCACACCGAGTTCCATAATAAACAAAAGAAGATACATATCCAGCATTCCCACCAAGAGGATTGCAATTCACGCTGCCACAATCACTCCCATATTCCAATTCAAAGCTTTCATGTAGGTTACCAAGCAACATACACAAACCATGCTTCGATTTGCCCACACCTAAATTCTCTTCTCTATCGTCACCACGCAAACAACCATTCTCACTATCTTTCCCAGCTAATTTATATTCATAACTAGAACTCTGATATAAACCCAACATCAAAAGGGGTTCAAAATAATCCCCATCATGCTTATCACTCAAACTCTCTAAAGTCCCAGTAATTAAACTGTCATAAATACTTGAACTTTGCGGATAATTAAGGTTAAGAACAACACTAAGAGGCCTCAAATTACCTGACCCGCCATTTCCAACCATACAAAGCTTCTTAGAAGATTCTGAGTAGTACCCATCAAGCCTAAAGTTCAGTAAGCCCTTCCGAAAATGGCTTCTCGGACCTCTGAAATAAACCAACCGCAAATTCCGACGCGTAGAATTGTGGAAGATGGAGTAGTCTCGAAGATGCAAGGTTGCCCTGACTTTGAAAACGCCTTCGGTGAGGGTTTTACCCACATCAGAGGGCACAAAGGAGAGAGTTTTCAGGTCATCGACCTCGCTAGTTTTCAGGTTTTGCTTGAAAAGCTGATCGCCGCCGGTGAAGTAACCGTTCCTGAAACCAATGTCTAGGATGGAGAGGTTGGTGACAAACCACCTGGCAACACTAAGAGGCCTCAAATTACCTGACCCGCCATTTCCAACCATACAAAGCTTCTTAGAAGATTCTGAGTAGTACCCATCAAGCATAAAGTTCAGTAAGCCCTTCCGAAAATGGCTTCTCGGACCTCTGAAATAAACCAACCGCAAATTCCGACGCGTAGAATTGTGGAAGATGGAGTAGTCTCGAAGATGCAAGGTTGCCCCGACTTTGAAAACGCCTTCGGTGAGGGTTTTACCCACATCAGAGGGCACAAAGGAGAGAGCTTTCAGGTCATCGACCTCGCTAGTTTTCAGGTTTTGCTTGAAAAGCTGATCGCCGCCGGTGAAGTAACCGTTCCTGAAACCAATGTCTAGGATGGAGAGGTTGGTGACAAACCACCTGGTGGGGTCTGCGTCCGACTTCGGCACGACGTCGTTGCAGTGTTTGGAGTATAAGGTTTCAGAATCAGAGCTTTGGGTTATGGAGTGTGAGGCTGTGTTGGTGAAATTGATGCAGAAGAAAAGGAAGAAGAATAAGAGGAGTGACCTCGTTGGCAAAATTGTATGAACCCTAACCCTAGATTTATGCAATGGAGCCGAAGAAGATGATGAAGAATTGGACTCCATCGCAGTACAGCGAGGGAGAGAACTGAAGAAGAACCTGAATCGCAGGACATGAGCAGATAAAGTTGCAATTTTTTAATGTTATTTACTTCAGCTCTCTTTTTTCTTAGCTTAGACATTAAATTTGAATTTGATATGGACTAATATTCGTTATCAAATATTAATATATTCCTTGGAAATGCTTTTATTATACTAACAAATTTTCTTTATATTTATTTTTAATATAGACTACTACTCGTTATCAAATATTAATATGATTATTTAAAGCTAAGTATTAGCCATGATTAAGATATAATTAGAACATGGCCGAACAGAAAAAGGATACAGAAACATAAGGGATTCTTTCAGTACTTTCTGTCTGTTTCTTGGCAACCAAACAAATCACTCATACCTTCTTAAACCATCTCATACAAACTCAACTCTTGCTTTTTTATTTCATAGATTTTGTATGCAAGACAGTGTATAATACAGAATAACAAATCTTACAAAGTCATTTTTTAACAGATACAAACAAACCATAGATTCTCTTTCTTTCTTTTTTTCTTCTTTTTTGGCAAACAACCACAACCTCAGAAATACACATGAGCATGACCAATCTTTCACCAAACACAGATTGAAAGTGTACGGTCTTATTTATACACATGACAGAAATGTCTTGCTTGGTTACCTTTATATTACAACTTTTGCACCATGTTCATTTCTCTGGCCCAATGAACCGGTTGCAATCAATTCCCTTATCACAGAAAGCCTCTACCAATTTTGGAAAGAGCTTGGATAGCATAATTTTGAACCCAGTAGAGCTTCCCTTGCAATGTTTATCTTCCATTTTCTGAAAATCAACAGCACACCCTACTGGAGCCCCATCCATATACGCCTTGCAAGCCATTACAATATTTTGGGAGCGCCGAGTGAAGTGTTCCACCACAAGCTCCTCGAAATGCTGCATCCGCATTATTAAGTTACAATCCATACTTACCAAACAAGACAATTTCAATGATCTTATAAAAGTATGATTTTCTGTGACTTCACGTCAAAGACTACAGAGGAACACTATCTTTATCCAGTATGACCCTGAGGGAAAAATCATATTACCAAAACAACTATCATACCTTAGGTGGCTTGTGGAGTATGTACAGCATGGACTTGCAAGTCATGAGGAAGGCATTTTCATTATAGCTTACTGAGTTTTTCTCTCCCTCAGTTCTTCCCACCTGCTGATCATATCCAGCTTCATTGAAATATGGCTTGTCGTTAAGCACAAGGGCTTGAAGGGAGAGAAGAACTTGAAGAATGGTGGAGCTCCCTGGATTCCAAACTTCAGTGCCCGTACCCGCCCATGTGTTAAGAAGACTGAGACAGACCTTTCCAGACTCATACAAATTAGGGTTGACACGGAGACCACCAGATCTGTAGTGCACCAACTGCATAAAATTTTAAGATTGACATACTAAATTAGCACTCACTATAATAGCCATAAATGTAAATAACAGAACTGCACAACCACATGTAAATACTTACAGGTGGTTCATGAGGATACTCTGGAGGAAGATAAATGTCAAAGAAGAAAAGCCCATCATGATATGGAGTTCCAGGTGCACCAACAATGACTGCCCGCAGAAGATCTATCCTTTCCTCAAACGCACGGACATAGATTTTTTCTGTTGATGACAGCAAAGTTAAGTATGGGGCCTCTAGTTAGTGTTAAAAGTACTTAGAATAAGAATATCCCTTCAGTTATCAGTTCATAGTTTTCCTAACCAACAGAAATTCGTCTATATATTTACTGCTTCCCAATCAAGTCTTGCTCTATGTTACAATTCATGCTATGAAAACCATTAAAAATTAAACTTAAAGAAGATGAAGTGCTAACCAGGAAGATCTTTCTCTAAGATGCTCCACTCTTGATGAATCTTTTTCATCCAGCCTCTTTTCACCTACGAGGGAACAAAATGGATAAGAATTATGACCATCCTCAGTGTATGAAATATGAAGTGGTACATTTGTATGGAAATTTCATCCAGTTTCTAACCTGAGATAATGCTAACTCCTTGCTGGCACCATGAAAATTGTGGTCTGAGCAGTCAGAAACCATGTCAAATTGCCTGAACTGATCTGCAGTCTCATTGGCTTTTAAATGTGGAAGGCTATTCCCCTCAATTTCTTTGCCTTCCTCAATCAAAATTTTCTTTCCAAATCTTTCCAGCTCAGCCGTTGAATGTGGCTTAGTGAAAAGGTCACAAGTTTCCACTATTCCTTTCTCATGGGAGATCTCAGATTCATTTCCAACTTCAGAAATACAGACTGATGGTGAAGGACCTGAAAGTGATGCGGAATCATGGGATCCAAAGAGATTCGCAGCTATGCTTGTGAAAAATCCAATAGCAGCTTGAGGAAGGAAATAGGAACTAGACTCCCTTGTGTACTTTTTGCAACCTTTACTGGCATCATCCAAATTCAGTGAATCCTGAACATAGAAACGTTATTCAGCTTGTTGGGAGGACAATGCAAACAATACAGGATATTCAGAGTTTATAGGAAGCAATACTGTAAGTTTTTGGATGATTTACAATTGTTTGGAAAAGCTTAAATTGTTAAAATGCAGACAAATAATTCTTTAATGTGTGGGCCTCTTCCCAAGGTAACCAAACATGTTGACCCCAACATAAATTGGGAGGTGTTCATGGATTTGAACTCAATATCTTTTGCTATAATACCAGGTTAAGTTTTTGTTAAATAACCGTTGCTCCAAAAAACTTAAGCTGTTAGGAAGTGAGCCAACTATTGTTAATGCAACCCAATTCAACAGTAATTTCATGAACTTCAAATGCAACCCAATGTTTCAAAAACATTTCCCACCCAGCGAAGTGGAAACCGAAAAATGCCACCACGAACAGTTTGCTGTTGTTTCGTACGTGCATGAGAGAGAGAGAGAGAGAGATGGCTGTACCTTTCCTTTCAGGTTAGAAGGTTGTTTTTCATTTTGAATCATAGCTCGATTCAAGTCCTCAATGTCATCTTCTGCAGGGATTCCAGCTGAACCTTCATGTTTGTCAAACCGGAAAATTTCACGAGGGGTCACCTGTAACAATGACCAAATTTTTTTTTATAAATGAAATCAAAATCTAATGGGAAACCAACACCAGCTCGAAATCATTTAACAAACAGAATGATGAATAAACAAACAATAATGGCTTAAATTTATACCGTGCTTGTAATACCAGTAGCCCATCTCACTTCCACAGCTCCATCTCTGAAGCCCGTAACACTACCAATGTGAGATAGGTAGCATTTATCAGTGTACTTGTCTTGATCCCCACCACAGTTCTCGTCTATCGGAGCAGCTTCCTCACTCATGCCAATCTTTGTGTTTGGATAGTTTTTATCAGCTTGTTCATCAAACTGATTCTGGACCAACCTGAACACATAATCTCCAAAACAGTAGGAGTAATCTGGGTGCTCAACCAGTTCATAAGCACTTACAATTTCATCCATTTGCTCTCCCTCTGAATTATTTGCTTCAGGTGCAGTGATAGTTTTCCATTGCACCTTTACTGTCCTTTCCTTTGCATCCACACCCTGCACAACACCCCATCTTTGACTACTAGGCAAGTGTTGATCATCACAAGTACTCTTTTCCTGGACAAACTGTTCAGGCCAAAATTCATGATCATTTACAACACTTACTGGAGCTAATGTCTGTGAATCTAAGCCCAAAGAGTGGCTACCATCTTGCCACACAACATCAACTTTTGTCTTTGTCTTTATGATAACAAAGATTTCCTCAAATTTTGAATTAGTGTTTCTTCTCCTGAATCCTCTTTCTGATTTCTTGTGCTGGTTAATGAGCTCACAAGTAGATGCATTATGAAAAGCCTGCTCCATGATAGCTTTACGGTCACTAACTGGAAGCATACACCAGTCCCCAAGCTGCCAGTTTGCATGAGAGAAACATGACAAAAAAGTCAACTTTTTTGAATCGAGCACACGTGGAGGAGCAGGCAATTTTGAATCACATCCCATGAGAACAGAGGCAAGCCAATCAACATACACCAAACCTCCCTCCACATAACGAACAGTTCCCTCATCTTGATTTTCCCTCCAGTTACCGCATAACCACCTAGTTGACTTGGAAGCAGTTGAAAGCCTGACCTGCACTCTCTGTCCTGGATAATATGGGTACTGTGGATCTTCAAGTATGTTTGGAGAAATGGGCAAGAGCTTCTCTTGATCGACAGCAGTGACCTCACACTCCGTCCCATCATCAAAGACAACAGTAACACGGTCGACCACTCTATCCACCCTTCCAAGCCATGGACCACAAACAACATAATCCCCCACTGAAATGGACCGGATCTTTAATAGGTTCATGGAGTTCACATCTTTTATCATATTTCCATTAACAGTCTCCAAATCAACAAACATATTGATCCCAACCACTCTTCCCATTTGTCCAGATGGATCTCTTACAGAGCACACCATGTCCCCATACATAAATCCCCTCTCAAACGAGAGAAAGTCATCAATTTTGCCAATGGTAGCCTCCAGGCTAGACAATATGCTACTGGCATGTCCGCCATAGAAATATTCATTTTCCTCGTGATCCTCACTACTACCAGTCTCACTAAAACTCTCCCAATCAGAGTCACTGAGGAGCACATCCATTCTTCAGCTGCCTATGGATATACAACTTAGTTCAATATCAACAATATGATTAAGAGTATGTTTTCATATGTATTTACGAATGCATGTGTACATGTATGTATAGCATGATTACAAGACAACAAAGAAAAAAATCCAAATAAAATGAATGAAAGGAGTACAGAGTCCATGTGCGAGATTTCTCACCTCAGTTGCAAACTGGGACAAAATAAAAATATAAGCTCTCCAGAGAAACTTGGTTAATCTTCACTGATTGAAAAACCAAGATCTTTTTGGAGATCGGTATTGCCAAAGAAAGCACAGAACTCGGTAGTTCGTGTAGTCTCCAAAGGATGAAATGATGAGTATTACCACAACAATCCTCTGTGATATTTGATACGGATAATGTGCTAGTATCTCCAATAGGATACTTTCACCACTACAACTGGAGATCTAATGCCAAAGGAGATTTGCCCTACAGGGATAACAGGAGTCAATGAGGACTCCAAATGCCAAAGGAGATTTGCCCAACAGAGGGGTAACAGGAGTCAACAGTGGACTCAAAATGCCAAATGAGATTTGCCCGATGGGTGGAGTGAAGTTTCAACCAGAATAAATTTTCCCACGACAAACTTCAAAAGGAGATTTTCCCAACTGCAGAAGTATCAAGGAATTGCAACTGCCAGATGATATCTTTCCCAGAGGTCGAGGTAAAGCTTCCCGAAATAGCAAGCAGAATGCCAAAGGAGATCTGCTCTAAAGCAAGGCTGGAGTTCGAGATAAATTGATGACAACTAAACAGAAGAACTCTTCTCATCCACTACGGAATAAAATCAACCAACCAAAGGGAACTTAAGTAACTTTGCCAAAGGAGATTTGCCCAACAGAGCTGAACTTTCACTTGTTAATATAATATATATAGAGAGACATACACACACATGTGCGTGTGTCTCTTTTGCCAAAGGAGATTTGCCCCAAAAGGAAGCCAAAGTTTCTGTCAGGATTTATCCACTGCCAAAGGAGGTTAGCCTCAAGAGTTGAACTAACCAACAGAGTGCAGGAATGAGATCAACAAAGTTCAATCCACCCAACAGAAATCTATCTTAGCGCTTGGTTTACTGCAGTTCAGAGCCAAATACTGGGTGATCTCTCAGAGAGGTAGCTGAACAACCATTTGTCACTGCGAAAGATCTTGGGAGCTTCTCTAAAAGTATGATGTTTCCATATAACCAGCAACAACATCGCCTCACTACTGCAGGAGTACTCTAAGAAATCTATAAAATAGCCATTTGTGAATGCCAAAAGTCATAAGAGCTTCTTTAAGCAGTTAAACATTTCCGGGAAACCTGCATCAATACCACCTTTTAATCTTTAGTGTGACAAGAAAATAGAAACAGAGAGATATAACAGTCCTCCAGAATTTAAGAGAGAAACGTTTGAGAAGGGGCCACACAAGTAGATGCAGAAAACAGAACATGTAATTTAGATTTCACATTAATCGTTTTAGTTTCTTGTGAATGAAAGGAATGACTTCAAATGGATAGAGATCTAACACTTGGTAAAACAACCAAATTTCAAGGAAAGAAGAAGAAGACGAAGAAGCAGGATCTTCATATAACTCAGCACAAGTAGGATCTTCTGGAAATTTTGCATCTTCAGCATGTGCTCTTTTTGGGTAGTTTATTATTATTATTTTATTGTTACTATCTTCTGTAAAGATTCAAAGAAACCTGCAATATTTCATTTCCATATAGAGAAAATTTAGAAATCTAAATTCAGAGAGATAGATACAGAGAGAGAGAGATAGAAAGTGTTATATGATGCTGCAATCTTAAAAGTTGGAGCTTTGCTATTGCTTGTACTTGAGATTGCATACAGATTTGATGGCTTGGAAAAAGAGTTGGATTTTAGACTTTCAGTGTCCAAAATTTAAATTGGAGGAGCATTTTGGAAACACAAGCCGGTTAACTTAAAATCTGTCAAGGAGAGCAAAAATTAAAACCAGAGAGAAGCTCTTACTCCAACTAATCACTTGGTACATGAATCAAGCATCTTCCACCCAATAATTACAAATTCATGTATGGATTAATTGAGGCTCTCGAATCCCTTCACAAATTTCACTAACACAAAAAGATTCATACTTTTCATTCCCCATTCTGTTACTGGGACTTCAACTTGACATCCATATTTTATTTCTTCTAAACCTCATGCATCCAACATGCAACCCAAAAATATTCAATTTCCAGAACCCATCAACTTCTTTATACAACTATTTACATACTAAGTTCCTTCTATCCCATTAACCATTTATTCCAAAAAAACAAAATTAGAAATGTAATTGGTACACTAAACTCGTTCGCATCAAGAAATTAAACCCAGAATCTTTCTTTTTCCAAAATAAAAGTTCAAAATTCAATAAGAAACTTAAAACCATGGCATATATGTGTGCGTTGCGTGTGTGTGTGTGTAATATAGAGTACAACAATTGATGAAAAGAAAAGAGAGATATGTAGAGAGAGAACAAGTGTACCATTAACAGCCTCTGAAAAGCCGCATAAAAAGTCATGAATACAACCAAAAATACCCAGAAGAAAACATGAGAAAGCCACCAAAAGCTGACAATAGAAAGTCGACCCAGAACAAAACTCCTCGAAAGAGCATCAGCCGTCTCATTTTCGTCACTTTCTTGCACTTTCTCTCTCACTTTTCATTTTCTCAGGAAGGTCGTCACAGGTTAAGAAAAAGCTGAGAATTCAGAGACAGAGAGGCCCTGTTTCAAACCCGTCCTCCACGCCACGACCGAACCACGAAACCATTGCAAACACAGTGGCACGACACGCAAAGAGACAAAGAGAGCTCCTTGTGTATGTGTCTATGTTGGGTTTCGATTGGCGATGGTTGTGTGTTTTGCGTTGTTGAGTGTGAGATGTTTTGGAGGCTTCAAGTGCGTGTGTCTGTGACAGCCAATTGGATATAAGAGACATACGGGAGAAGAATATACCAACAGTATCTCTCCAGTATCAGACACAAATACTATTGTTAAGTCTCCCAACTACTAAACACACTGTCAAATTACTACTTTACCCTTTACCCTTTTCTTTTTTTCTTTTTTTTTTTGACTTAGCGATATTAATGTACGGTGTTTTGAATTTGGTGCAAGGGAGCTTACACATTGTCTTGACCAATTGGCGTAATCCGTATTTGCTACCCTTGTGACATTTGGTCAGCCATAAGATTACCCAACTCTAATGTTTATTTGCTTAATTATATCCAAAAATGCATATGCTGATTAAAACAAAAATAATTGTGAAAAAAAAACAAGAATATTGTAAATTAGACTATATAGGGCAGTAATTGGCCATAGGTGACATGAAGAATATGCTTGCTTTTATCCAACATAGTACACACATGTAGTAAAGGTTGCAACTTGCAAGTACTTTTACAAAGATGATGCAAAGCACTTGTGTTGGTTGTGGTTTAAGTTTGTACAGAAAAAAGATTTTGCTGTATAGATTTTGTTTTGGGGGGGTATGAACTATGTAGTGCCTTTTTTCATATTAGGGTCATAAACAAAATAAGTTAACTTAAAAGTGTTTTGGGTTATAAAATCATCATTTCATCTTTTAGTGCTTTTTAGAGCAACACTTAATAGATTTTAACCAAAAAAAATTGTTGTGCTTCTAATAAAAGTGCTTTCAACAAAAGCGTTGAGTGCTTGCTTAGAGTTAGAAGCCACACATTAGGTAGTGATTCAATTTACATTCTTTGGTTGATTGGTTGACAAAATTGTTTTGAAGAAAAACGTGTGTTAAAATGAACCGGATGACCAAACCCTAAACCAAAAACGTACCAACCTGGTTGGTTCCTTCCTTTTTGAGGCAAAAACTGGAACGACATCAAAGTTAAAACTATAATAATAAGAGCACTAAGATACTGCCGATTTGGAAAGGCAGATAGAGTGCCAAAAAGCCACGGGCAATGAAAATGACTGATTCCTAATTAAACTACCTTTATATCCTACTTAGAAAACCACACGTAAGTTGGCTGAATTCAAAGTGCCAACTCTTTGTTGCACTTATTGTTCCATGCACTTTGCCAATATAAACGTATGTGCCCTAGATTTGACTCCAAATTCTATAGGTGACCCCCGGCGGCTCCCAAGGAACCATATATATATTATTATTATTATTATATATAGTCGTGTTGCCCCATTGTGCACCGACCTTTTGATGAGGGCAATTTCCAACGTATCCTACCTAGCCAGTCAATGTCCAATATTTCAAGGTAATTTATTATATTTTTGTTGTTTCCCTGTTTCTCTAAGATTGTGTCTTAGTGCATTTTAGGTTTTAGTCAGAGGTGCAATGCGATTGGATTCAAATCCGACTTGAAATGCCTGGCCTATAATCAAATCCAAATTCTTCCAAGATATTCTGAATCTTAACTCA